ATCAGCCGCGTCATTGGCCGCTGTAACAAAGCATGCACCGACACTGCGGCGACTCCTGATGCTCTCGTCACTCCGGAATTGACGCCCTAGCAGCCGCACTGCGGTCATCCGAGAGCCAAAACTCTTTCCATCTTTCCTCCTATCCTTCTGCAGAATACACTATCCCTAACAATCTGGCTTTCCTACCGTCTTCTCTCCTCACCTAAAGGACCCATGGGTCTGGAAGATCGTAACTGTCAGGGTAAACCTTTTTAGCCTTAACACCTGTCGATAACTTCCTACTTTTGCTTGATAATTTATCAATTCAATTATCGGAGAAGCATAGAAAAATAGTGCACACTTTCTTTTACGCATACTTTGCACATATTTTATTGGTGAGTGTTTGGGGATACATTAGCATTCCGTGGAGACGACGACCTTGAGGGACTCCTTGTATTGCAATTTCCCATTACGGTTCGTATCATACTTTTTGATCCAATCCTTGACAGCCGGCAAGAACTGCCAACTGGCGGAGTGCTCTAAAGTCAGAACCAGTTCTGCAGCTTCGATTTCTTCCGATTTGCCTACATCTATCAAGTTGAGGAGTTTCCTCCATCCGAACAGGGTGGATTCGTGTACTTTCTTCGCATTAAGTCCCTTTGTGGGACAGTTGTCTTCCCAATTTCCACCTTACTACTCTCTAGTGTCCATGGGAAATTTATAGGCAGTTATTTTCTAAGAAATTGGCTTAAAAATCCGAATGAAAAATCCATATATAGGCTCGTATTCACAGACGGTAAAGACAATTTTTAAATGGTGAGTTTATGTACGTTGTAGTTACCAGGACTATTTGCTTGAATCCAATACTTCAAGTCTTATTGTTTTGTTTCTTTTACTGCATAGTGCTTTTGTTATATTAGCTATTTGAAAATGATTTACGTTTCACTGTTCCCAAAAGACCACGAAAGTATTATCACAACTTCCAAGCAAGAAGCCTGTGTACTAAGACAACATTAAGGCAAACGCAATTATTTCCCTTATTACTCCAAAGTAGAAGTAAGGTACAAAGTGTGCAGACATCTGTTTTCGGTCTTTAGCCCAGCAATTGGCTAAATTTAGGTAATTGGACTAGATTTTAAGCAATATGGAACCTGAATTGAAATTCCGTACGGAAGTTCGTTGCAGGGAGGTGGAACGTCTTACTATCACAATTTAGGATCAAAAGATCATGTGACCAAGACGTCTAAACATTGGCTTGCCCCACTACCATCTTCTACTAAATTAAGCAACGTACTCACCTGTGAAAATCAGTTGAAGTGCGTAGGTGGTTTACTAAAATTAACTAAGTCCGACTACGTGCGCTGCTTAAAGAAGACGACTTTCGAGATGATCGCGAAGTTAGTTTCCTGATTTTAAGTGAAACACGAAAACTCCAAATAACCATGAGCGTCACAACGGCCAGCATCGTAGACATACGATATTTACTTAGGGTTTTATATGGCTCATAATTGTAACGAGCCTTTTCGAGTTAACCATTTAGACAGAAATCACGTTATACTATAACCACTATACTGCAAACAATTAAAGTCTAATGAATATAGGAAAATATTCTGAGATCACTGGAACAAACATTTTATTTTCTTGATGTTGCGGATTCTGTTCAGAATCTTTAATCACAGGCAATCTTTGGAAAGTGTGAGACATGCGCAGATTGGGGTGATAAATGCACAGATTGTACGGTGTTTATAATTTTAAGCGGTCATCCGCATAGGTACTATACTCATCAGCTCCCGTAGCCACCGCTTGGAGTCTTAATTGGTGCGGTGATCGCTGGGCACTTCGCTTTCGACTCATTAATGGACGCGATTTCGTTGTCCGTGTCGGATGCGGGTTTGATAATTGCGCGACAATTATGCTCACTGTCGTCAGAGCAGCTGCTGGGCCCGGCCCTTCCTTTGCTCAGGCAATGTCTCAGTACGTAGTATGAGAACGGCAAATCGTTGCGATGGGTGATTCACTGTGGGCCCACGAACCATAACTCAATCAGCCAGCGGCTGACGCGGTTATCATTTCTGGCGAGGAGTTCAGCCTCGTTAAATTTGAAAATATGGCCGGCTCCCGTCGAGTGAGCTGCGACCTGGGAGTTAGCGTCTTTCTTTCTCACCGCCGTTGCATGCTCGGTCACATAACTGTCTTCATTTTTTCGCGCTTTCCCCCTCCCTTCCCCCAACGTCGACAAACCCTCATTGCAACGTAACCAGCCGCATATTATCAACTACTAACCCCCTCTCCTATTTCCATGACTAATTTACCTGCAATTATCAACATAATGGCCTATATATACGTCCTGTTTCTTTTACCTCCTCATAACAATAAATAACAATTTCAGAATTTGGCGACGTCTTACCTTCGCTTTATAATTTAGTGTGTGTGTGTAGAAATTATCAATTCGATTATCAGAGACGTATAGAAATATATTGGGCGCTTTCATTTACGCATACTTTGTACAAAGTTCATTAGTGAGTGTTTGAGGACGCCTTAGCATTCCGTGGAGACGAGTATCTTGACAAAATACTTCTACTGTAATTTCCCATAACCGTTTGCATCATATTTCTTAATCTAATCCTTGACAGCCGGCACGAAATGAGAATTCGCGAATCTCTTTAAAAATGGAACCAGCCCTACAGTGCCGAAATCTCCAGACTTTTCGGTGCTTATAAGGTTGAAGAGCTCCCTCCTTCTAAACCGAAATAAAAAACTATCAAGGTCCTTAGTGTCTAGCGAGGGTTCGTGTTCTTCCTTGCATTGAGTTCCTTTCTAGGACAATTGTATTCCCAATTTCCATCTCATTTCCCTTTAGTGTTCTTTGGAAATTTATCGGTAGTTATTTTCTAAGAAACTGGATTCAACGTTTTCGGAGTGACCAGGTGTTGTTGCCAAACACTACGTTCGTGCTTGTTGACTTGTAAACGGCGAGAAATAGAGGTCTGATTCCGTTTAACCACAGACAAGTGTGTTTGATGTGGATATGCACCCGGAGACTAGAGAGAACAGGGGATGTGGGAATGGGTTTCTGCTACTATTTCCTACTCATGTCTCTGATGATGAATTCGCGACGGATTTCGAAACGTCAGGCGGATAAACGTGTTGTCCCAGATATTGAGTCTTCTTCTTCTCGATGTTGGAATGTTCCAGGCGCTCTAATCGTCAAGTTTGGAAAAGTATTCCGGGCTTAGAATCATAAATAATATTTGCTCACCGAAACGTCAGCAGAAAAAGAAACGCATTCCGGTGGGGAAAATGATATATGGTTCTAATCGTCAGTTTAACCGGACATTCTGCGGAATCTGACGTAGAATCACGCATTACATCGTTCGATCACCATCACTTCTAACACTGAAGAGTACGGAAAAGAAACCGTACACCTCTTAGTAGGTCAGGAGGTCGTCATGATGGCGAATATTGCAATTTCATATTCAAGCGTAAACGGATTCTTTTAATCTTTATTTATATTTCAAAGCACGAACGCCTCTGGCGAAGGATATATTTGTAGTCAGGAAGCCCAGTGAAACTGTTAATCCACTAACTGTTAGTCTAGTAGTGCATAAGAGAAGTAAGTAGGAGAAACGATCAGCCGTTTCTTATCTCAGTATCCAAAACACGCAATAAAATAAAAGGGTTGCTTTATTTAAAACGAGTTCAAACACTTCAAAGTTATTGTTAGAAAGATCGGCACAGCATCAGCATTCAAGAGATGCAATGAAGCCCAAAAATTCCTGGTAGTTTAAGTTGCCATCCTTATTTGTATCATAGTCTTCCATCCAGGCATCTACGGTTTCTTCCAAGTTTTCAGAACCGGTTTGACGAAGGAAGTCCTTCAACTCTTTGATACTGACTGTTCCGCCTCCGTCTTTGTCAATGTCTTTAAACATCTCTTTCCACCTTATGGAGACAAAGGTTTATGCAAAAAGGGTTGACAGACGTTGAAAAACTCAATTTCCTTACGAAGGTTACAACAGATCAGTTAACTCAGTCTACTACATATATCTATATAAGATAAGGTACCGATCATAAACTTTTGTGATTTCAACTATGAAAAAATTTCGGAAGACGAACTTCCATACTTAAAAGCATTTGATTATGATATGATGGTTGAGTAAATTGATGAATGCGAGAAGGGCTAGCAAACGGAAAAATCTGCACAAGACATAAAACATAAATCTTGTTTCTAAGTTTTAGTTTTGTAGAAAATCAATTACTTACGCATCCATGGGCTGACTTGATATGTTTAGTGCAACTTTGTACTCTCCTAGTGTAATTATGCCATCTCCGTTGAGATCCAGTTTTTCCATTAATTTCTAAACGACAGAAGCAGAAAGGAATAAAGATGGTCCACGTAAATCGTATGCCAATCGCTTTAATTGATGAGGATTTTTGTGAGGTTTTTTTGACGAGTCCATAAAAAATGCTCAATTTTGTCAGGATACAAAGTTTTCCTTTTATCAAATATGAATTTTAGCCACTTAAATTATTCCATTTAACTGCAATGTTCATATGTGGCGCAAGTGGTTCAGTAGTAAACTTTAAATGTATGATTTCTAAGTCATTGTTCTGTATTTAAGTTGCTTTCAAAGGACACTTTTTATGAACTCACTGCATAAATAGGAATGGTTGGGCGTCCAGCGATCTGGCTACGGAACATATTCATCCCGTTTTGCCTCAGATCTCACTCTGGAGCTCTCGACAGTAGGCGTATAGTGACTTCTACATATGCTGAAGTGGAACTGACAAAAACAAGGGTGGCTTCCTCGTCTTTGCCGGTTCCACCTCAACTACATAATTGTCTGCATTTACGCAAGAGGTTTCTTTCAGAGCGATACCCTTATATAAACAGGCTATCAGAGAATAAATGCGTATTGAAAAATCTCCCCCCCCACAACGAGCCGTGGGGTTGATGCAATGGATCAAGGTTGGGAGCAAATCAGGTCACGGTAGGCGCCAACGCGGATGCTCACCCGGTAACAACAACAGTGCATGAAGAGGGTTGGCACATGGAGTTAGTAAGCTGTTTTGTTCCAGTATTACAGAGAGCTTGGGTTCTGCTATTGAATTACTGATTATCATCCATTATTACACTTGTAAACCAGGGAAATATCCTACAGGGTGTCCCAGAAGTAACTGACCTTTTTT